AGAACATTTGCAAAATGGAGATTGCACTTTCCCCTTGTTCCAGGCCTTCTGCTACCTGTGCTCCCTGCTCTGCCCAACCAGCCCCTGACCTCCTGCTAGCTAACACAAACCCAGACATAGTGGGGCTCACAGAAACATGGTGGGATCCAACACACAACTGGGCAGTGAACATCAAGGGCTATAGGCTGTATAGGAGGGATAAAACAGGGAGGAAAGGCCGGAGTGGGGCGCTCTATGTCAAAGAACAATTCACATCCTCAACGAGCAGCACTGGGCCTGAAGAGGGGCAGACTGAAGTGCTCTGGGTCAGAATACAAGGGGGTTGGGGGGAAAGGGACTTAACGGTGGGGGTCTACTAGAGACCACCCTACCAGGGGGAAGAGCTAGACCAGGAATTCTCAGGTCAGCTCACGGAGGCAGTTAAGTCAAAGGATGTGGTCATCATGGTGACCTAAACTATCCGGACATCTACTGGGAAGAGCAGTCAGCCAGGTCTGACTGCTCACGCAGGTTCCTAGCCTGGACCTCCATCTAACCCAGGAGGTGCACAATCACACCAGGGAAAATGCCTTGATAGACCTGGTCCTGGCCACAAGCGACGACCTGGTGAGGGGACTACAGGTGCTCGATAACCTGGGCGTTAGCAATCATCGCCTACTGGAATTCACCATCCAGCACAGGGTGGCAAAGGCCTGCAGCAAGACAGCAGCCCTAGACTTCAGGAGGGCAGATTTCATTGAGCTAAGGAGACTAGTTGGGGAGGCACTGAGGTCCTGGAGGGGCGGGGAGTTGGGAGTCCAAGAAGTGTGGTCGTTCCTGAAGGAGACAATCCTCCAAGCCCAAAGGGTGGCAATCCCAACACGGATCAAAGGGGGCAAGAGTGCTCAAAAGCCCCCATGACTCACCAAAAGCATCCAGGAACGTCTCAAAGCTAAAAAGGAGGCATACACCCAATGGAAGGGAAGGGTCATCACCAAAAAGGATTATACCTCCATTGCTTGGGATTGTAGGGGGGCTGTTAGGAAGGCCAAGGTGGAGATGGAACTGGGACTAGCAACCCGGATCAAGGATAACAAGAAATCCTTTTTTAAATTCATAGGGGGTTAAAAGAAGGTTCCGGGTAACGTGGGGCCTCTGCAGGACACACTAGGAAATCTGGTGGTCTCACCAGACAACAAAGCTAACCTCTTTAACAATTTCTTTGCCTCCATTTTTCTGAGCAGGGACCAGGTCAACCCCCTCACCAGGATCCCTGATGGTCCCAGGGGAGGCACAGCCAGGCCCAGGGTCAGAGAGGAACTATTCAGGGAACTTCTGGTGGGACTGGACATGTTCAAATCAGCAGGTACTGACAACCTCCACCCCAGAGTGCTGAGGGAATTAGCAGAGGTCATTGTGGGACACTTGGCACAGCTTTACGAGCACTCGTGGTGCTCTGGCCAGGTGCCAGAGGACTGGAAAAGGGACAATGTGGTCCCCATTTTCAAAAAAGGGAGGAAGGAGGACCCTGGAAATTATAGTTATGCTTAGGGGCAACCAACATGGGTTCATTAGAGGCAGGTCCTGTCAGACCAACCTGGTGGCGTTCTATGACCAGGTCACAAAATCCTTAGATGCAGGGGTAGCTGTGGACATAGTCTTTCTGGACTTCAGGAAGGCCTTCAACACTGTCTCTCACTCCATTCTCATTAAAAAACTAGGGGACTGTGGCGTCGATACCTACACTGTCAAGTGGGTCGCTAACTGGCACCCAGAGAGTGGTGGTGGATGGGTCATTTTCAACCTGGAGGGATGTCGGCAGTGGGGTCCCCCAGGGCTCGGTCCTCGGGTCTGTACTGTTCAACATCTTCATCAGCGACTTAGACGAGGGGGTGAAAAGCACCTTGTTCAAATTCACAGATGACACTAAGATGTGGGGAGAAGTGGGAACGCTAGAAGGGAAGAATAGGCTGCAATTGGATCTGGACAGGTTACAGGAGTGGATGGATGAGAATAAGATGGGATTCAATACTGACAAGTGCAGGGTGCTGCGCCTAGAGAGAAAGAACCAGCAGCATACCTAGAGGCTGGGGAACTCCCTTCTCATCACCACAGAGGCAGAAAAGGATCTTGGAGTCATTATAGACTCCAAGATGAGCATGGGCTGCCAATGTGGGGACGCAGTCGGGAAGGCTAATCACACCTTGCATCCACAGATGCATCACGAGCAGGTCCAAGGAGGTGATCCTCCCCCTCTATATGACATTGGTCAGGCTGTAGTTGTAGTACTGCGCCTAGTTCTGGGCGCCGCACTTCAGGAGGGATGTGGACAACATCAAGAGGGTCCAGAGGAGGGCCACTTGCATGATCAGGGGGCAGCAAGGCAGGCCCTACAAGGAGAGGCTACGAGACCTGAACCTGTTCAGCCTCCACAAGAGAAGGCTGAGAGGGCATCTGGTGGCCATCTATGAACTGGCCAAGGGAGACCGGCAAGCAATGGGAGAGTCCCTGTTCCCCCGAGCACTACTGAGAGTAACAAGGAATAATGGCCATAAGTTGACAGAGAGTAGATTCAGGCTAGATATCAGGAGGCACTACTTCACAGTCAGGGCGGCTAGGATCTGGAACCAACTTCCAAGGGAAGTGGTGCTCACTCCTATCCTGGGGGTCTTCAAAAGGAGGCTGGATAGACACCTTGCCAGGGTTGTCTGACCCCAGCATTCTTTCCTGCCCATGGCAGGGGGTCAGACTTGATAATCTGCTTAGGTCCCTTCTGACCCTACCAACTATGAAACTATGACATCATGTCCTTACTAATCTCACCAAACCACATCTTGACTTTACAGAGTGTGCAGGTAGAAGGAAATGAGAGTCCAGCTGACAGGGTTTACAGCTTTACTGGCTCCCCTGGTATGTCACATTCTCAGCTATGACACCTCCCAGGTAAGGCCTCTGGGTTCTTCTTCCCCAGACTAGTCCCTGCCCTTTGATGCATCTAGCCTAGCCTCTAGAACCCTAATAGAACCTCTAGCCTCTATTTTGGGCCTGTGAGGCCTCCTCCTGTTTTCCTAACGCTTATCCTAGTCAGTTTTCCTGGGTTTCCATTCTTCCTGGTCCAGCCAGAACCTTCTGTCTCCCCTGCTGCTAAGCCCTTCCTTTATACTGCTCTTAAAGATGTGGCCTCCACCCTGGTTCCTCTTTAGAGGGCCCTTTCCCTTCTTCCCTATAATGGGGACTGAAGCGGAAGAGACCAGGGGCAACAGTCCTAGATGCTGCCTTTGTAGAGTGGGGCATAAAATAGCCACAACCGCAGCAAGAGCTGCCATGATCATCACCACAGCAGCCAATGGTGCCCTGGGCATGGAGTTGCCCTGCTACACTCCTGCTGTCCCATTATACAAACCATCGTGCTTTCCACTCTGCTTGTAGCTTATATTTTGTAGCTTATATTTTCCCACTTCCCCATCAAATTACTTCTCTTGTCCATTCAGACTGCAGACTCCTTGGGGCAGGACAGACATTTACTTATTTCAGCTGGAGCCTCAAGCTGCTTCTGTAATACAATAATGAGCAACATCATCTGCTATACTGAATAGGTTAAAGACCAGATCTCAGAAACAAACTTACCCATGGTATGAATGCCACTTTTGTTAACTAAAACTCAAAAAACAAAAATAACTTCACAGTTATCGTGTTTGTTTGCTTTTCAGTATTTCCCAGGACATGGAGTAAATGCCAATTAAATCACTTTCACTGTGCAGCAGTGTTTGGGTTGTGGGACAGACCTATGCATCTTTGTTCAAAGAACAGATGTTTCCCAAGAAAGTTAATTTTTTTTAAAAAGATGGAAACATTTTGGTCCTAATTTCTGAATAAGGCTTTGATCATAGATGGACTTTGTGCTGGGCAGAGTCTTGGGCATCTTTGATAACGATATTTCTTTCAATTTAACGTGCCAGGACAATTAGGTTTTTAAAAAATGGAACGTCTGCTCCAACAAATAGGCAGAGCAGTACAAAACGGTACCCGTGCATTTAGGACATGCAGCTCAAGTGACCTAAGCTATATTTCCACCAATTTACTGTGCGACAACAAACTAAATGCTTAACTTCTGTGCCTCAGCTTCCCCATTAACAGAGAAAAATTAGTCAGAAGGTTCTATATAACTTCATCAAGTTCTTTTGAGAGGGTCAGATGAAGAATGCCAGAAACTGAATTAAAAACCAGGCTTTGGTGCCCAAGCTATTTGAATGGACCCCTTTCAACCAACCCTGACAGTTCGCAAAGGGCAGCAGAAGAATGGGGTGAGGGTCTAGCAGAAAGGGCTACCAGGCTTGAGACATTGCTTATTCTGCAGAGAGCAGTGTTGCCAGGTCTTAAACATGAAATTATCCTGTCGGAAGCTCAAAATTATTGCATTTGCTGAAAAACTATTGTACACTGAAAAAATATGCAAATAAGTAAGCAAATGTTTTTTATTTACTTTATACTGCTTCCTGTAACTTGCCAGGGAGTGAGTGAGAACGGAGTCAAAGTTGAAACATCTCCTTGTTTTGAAGCAAGCAGTCATAAGAAAGGGTTGACCACAAACCCAAAAATCATTTCTCAGCCTTTTGAATCAAATCAAGTATGATGGGGGCATCCAAACCCCAAGACCTCTGAGCTTGCTTGGACCTACACGTAGGATACCTGCCAATGGGTTTGGGAGCATCTTAAGTCCCAGAGTAATTGGTCTGGGAAGGAGGATGTTCACCAGTTGTACACAGCATTCAGAATGATTGAGTCCTGCCTGGTCCATCAATAAGGCTTTTGGACTGATTGAGCTCTGCTCAACCGATATGATTCGGAACTGATTTGGGTGCTTTGACCTAGAACATGAAATATATTGAATTAAAAAAAGCAAAACAAAATAAAGTCAGTTAAGGCTCCCTGAAAGTGACCTGGGTTTTGCATCCGCTGCGCCAAAGACCTGCCTCAAAAACTGCGCTACGTTTTGAGCACTTCTCCTATTATTATCTTACGAGGGTTGACGTTACAGTACAATTCGGATGGCTCTCGTACACCCGGCGACCCTGGCAGAGAGAAACAGGCAGGGGGGACAAGGGAAGGCGGCAAAATGACGGCGGGCAGGCGCGGCGCAGCCCGAGGCGCCAAGAGCCCGAGGGGGGCACCCGGAGCCGCGGAGAGACCCCACCGCCAGCCGCGCCCGGGGCCCAGGCCAG